ATATATATATATAGTGTTACTTGGTAATTTTAACACATTATGCCTTGCTATCTGATCATTAAGTGTAGTCACTGTATGAGACTAAAATTAAACAATTTTCAGGTTTCTTTTACTGATAATAAAAATAGTATGATCGTATAGTAATGGACATTTATATACAATACCAACTGCTCAGTGTTTCATGAGTAGGTTTACAACAAAAGAAAAAATTATGTTTAGACTGTACCCATAATTTATTACATGTAACCTAAACTATATGTAATTATCTCTGGTTATGGTTATGGAACAGTCTGAAATAAACATTCATGAAGAATATTTTAAACGTTGTTTACAAGACATTCTCATGATATCATCATTTTATAAATAAAAAAATAACTCACTGAAATAAAGAAGCATTCTTTGAGTACGGTGGCTAACATTAAAGAATTTTGAAAATATTATAATCTTATCAATGTCTAGTATTTTTAACTACTGTTTACTTCATAAATCACGTGTCAATTCTAATATCTACAAAAAAATATATATATAGCAGCATCGTGAGAAATCCACACACATTTTTATGTACACTGCTGTTGGGCAGATAACAAAGCTGGGAATTTTTCTCCACAATGACCAAGTAGACTGTACAGATGGCAGAATACTGAGGAAAACTCCCTAAAATACACAAAAATTATATCACACCAAGCAAGAAGTTGGTTTGTTTAAAATTTTTTATACCTAATCAGTATCAATTTATAAAAATAATTCCACATCAAACTCAAATATTTAAATTCTTGCAAGTTTTAGATTATACTCAAAGGAGTATTTCATTAACAAAAATTTACACTGAAATCTGCTTACAATATAACTTAACATTTTACAAGTGTTATCGATGTCAAATGTTTCATTGTCCATAGCATAATAAGTACAGTGTTATAAGAAGGAACTACAAAAAATTAAAAACATTTCACTCCTTCTAAAGTGACACTGAGTTTTGTTGCACAAAGTCAACAGTTGTTTTTTCAATTAACTAACTTCCATTATAATACATTTATTGTAGGATACATGTATTTACACACTTACGGATCATTTACATCCATTTTCTCCAGTATTAATATGGCTTCATCTTTTAATGTCTTGTGTAACTCTAACATCGTCCGAGTCCATTGGATCTCCCACAGAAGAGAAGATAGTTCTTGCAGCTCCCTCTGTGAAACATACGTTAAAACATCTGGCATGGCCCACAGTCCTGTAACATGTAATTACATTATAAAATAGCTATCAAATACCGCGAATAAGGAAATGACACATCTTGTACTTGAGGTAAATATTTGGTTTTACGACCCTCTTGCCAGCTACGTAACATCTGAACATTATGTTGTAAATTACACAGACTCAGTAACTATCCACAAGAGCTCTACTGTGGACATTATCACATTTTATTAAACATGTCAACAATTCTAGTTCAAAGAACCATAAAGAATGCAACATCTGTAGTCCGACAATACTTGAAATTAAACCAAAATAACAATAGATGTGTAGATAAAAACTACATTTCATAAAACATACCCACACTATTTATTCATACTCAAGATTATAAGTTATAAAAAAAACTTACCGTTAATACGAAAAGGATAAAAACCCTATAATCCGAGCGCTTTCGAAAGGTGGACCTTCCTTCTTTTACCCCTGAAGAAGATAGGTCCACCTTTTGAAAGTGCTCTGGTTATAGGGTTTTTATCGTTGTATATTTTATCGTGTATTTGCAACAGGAATTGCCCTTAACACCTTTAGTTCTCTGAAATACCTTTTAAAACAGAAATGCAATGATTACTGTTATCGTCTAAGTTACTCCTAAACTTTCCTCCCATTTTACTATTTAGTAAAACGTTCAGAGCCAGCTTTGATTATATATCTGAAGTTCACATAAAAATATAATACTATTTACCATTTTTTTGAAAAACATTAGACCACTGACAAAGAATTATTAATACAATAATTATGAAAAAAGATACAGTACTGTCACAAGATCTAGTTTAAGGTCGTAGAAAAAACATTTTTATTAAATCAATATTCGGTAGACTATATTTTTTTCTCTTCATAATTAAAATTAAGTGGAAAGAATGTAAAGTAAACGTTTTATGTAGAAATTTGAAAATCTTCACATTATCTGTACAGTTTTCAACTGAAATTAGAATATTCAACATGCAACCGAATACAACATTGTATGGAATAAGGAAGCTTCTGAATATAACTTTGTGTGAAATTAGGAAGTTTCTAAATACAACATTGTGTGGAATTAGGAAGTTTCTAAATACAACATTGTGTGAAATTAGGAAGTTTCTGAATACAACTATGTGTGGAATTAGGAAGTTTCTAAATACAACATGTGAAGTTAGGAAGTTTCTGAATACAACACTGTGTGGAATTAGGAAGTTTCTAAATACAACATTGTGTGAAATTAGGAAGTTTCTAAATACAACATTGTGTGGAATTAGGAAGTTTCTAAATACAACATTGTGTGAAATTAGGAAGTTTCTAAATACAACATTGTGTGAAATTAGGAAGTTTCTAAATACAACATTGTGTGGAATTAGGAAGTTTCTGAATACAACTTTGTGTGAAGTTAGGAAGCTTCTGAATACAACTTTGTGTGAAATTAGGAAGCTTCTGAATACAACTTTGTGTGAAGTTGGGAAGCTTCTGAATACAACTTTGTGTGAAGTTGGGAAGCTTCTGAATACAACATTGTATGGAATTAGGAAGCTTCTGAATATAACTTTGTGTGAAATTAGGAAGTTTCTGAATACAACATTGTGTGAAGTTAGGAAGCTTCTGAATACAACTTTGTGTGAAGTTAGGAAGCTTCTGAATATAACTTTGTGTGAAGTTAGGAAGCTTCTGAATACAACTTTGTGTGAAGTTAGGAAGCTTCTGAATACAACTTTGTGTGAAGTTAGGAAGCTTCTGAATACAACTTTGTGTGAAATTAGGAAGTTTCTGAATATAACTTTGTGTGAAATTAGGAAGCTTCTGAATACAACCACCTGTAAAAACAAACCAGTTCTGATCAAAGCTTTCTGCAGAAGAAAATGTGGTTCTGAAAATGATTTCCTGTGCAAGTAAGAGCATTATGAATACACCTTCTGTAGAAGATGGGATACCGAATACAACTTTCCGTATAAGCAAAAGGATTCTGAACTCAAGTTCTTGCAGAAATAAGGTACAAGTACACAGACTTTGAAGAAAACCAACTTGAAAAAAATAACCAGGATTTGAGTACAGCCTAAATATATGAATTAATATCAATTTCTACACGACTTACCAGGAAAATCCAAATGAGGATTCCACAACCAAATTGGTGTTTGTTGATAAAAATTGTCTTTCCTCTCCTGATCATTTGTAGTGAAAAGTTTTCGCTTGTCTGGTTTCAAAACAAAATGATATTTTAATATTTGCAGTGTTGATCTGATAAATGTACTGTATAAACAATTTATTAAACTAAGAGTTATAATAATCTATTCATAAATATTTATTTCTTATTGATGATCAAAATGATACAGAGAAACTTTTCATTCCTTACTGTTGAATAATTGACAATAAATTATATCACTAGATTTAGAAATATAATAAAGTTTGAAGGAAGTTTAAATAATAGGTTCTGGCCAACACTATAATGGTGAATAGTATATACATTCATGTGATTATTAATTTGTTACTATCATTATGTATAGTACTACTTAATAGCAAGAATCGTGATGAAACAAAAAATCGCCCTTTTAAAACCACCTTTAAAATGTTTGAATATTAACAATGACTATTTCACAGTATTGGCTGAGCAAAACTAAACCTTATTGTACTTATAAAACTGCCTAAATTGTAATATAAGTGTTTATGGAGTGAATCAAAATTTCACTATTTCAACACATTTTCATCCAAGTAAGTAAGTAAGTGACTTTTCCAGACAAGCGTACAAAAAAAATCACTATTTCAACACATTTTCATCTAAGTAAGTAAGTGACTTTTCCAGATAAGCGTTACAAAAAAAGATGAACCTCATCACCCTAATTCTTTTACAGAACTCTTCCATCTGGTTTCCCAGTGATTCCTATCTTGCACCAAAAGGATACTAATATATATATATAATGGACAATGTGCTACTTTTGGGCATATAATTAGATTGACTTGAGGGTTGGTAGGTAAAGATCCTGATGAGTAATAAAATTGAAACAGGTATACATACACCCCATGCTTGCTATTGTTGGTGCACAATAATAGCTAATAAAAAGAAAACAAATAAATACAATAAAAAAATATTAAATTTTATAAAAACAAGTAAGGATCAATAAATATGTAACCTAGCTAGCTATAGTAATATAGAAAGCTTTAATACTACAAAAACTGAGTCACTTAAAATTTAATAAAAATTGTCCCTACTCTTGCTCAGACTAACATAATTACAGTGATTTACAAAAGTAGGGATAAACTTTTTAACAAGTATGAATGATTAATAAAACGCAGAATTAAAATTAACTAATTAGGACTTGAAGCAAATTTTAGGAAAAATAGGGAGACCGATAAAAAATTAGGACCACTAGAAAAATCTGCTATTAGCATAATAATACTAACCACTGAATGCATCCTCTGAAGTAGAAAAGTCTTCCTTGTCTTTCATTGCTCCACGACATTCTTCTATTAATGCATTCTAGAAAACTTGTTAAGATTTTTGTGTTAATTCGCTTCTTCCTATACCTCAGTTATAACAGTAGCATTAGTTTGTAACGACAGTTTTTAACCTAAAATGTTTATTTAACAACTAGTGAGTCGATAAAATATGTGAAGTGTAAATGGTTTCAAACTGTCGAGCATGTCAAGGTGCCGCTGCTAGAGAGACTCACTAAAAAACAATGAAAAATAAGCATTTCCCTATATTCTGAGATGGATCTTTATAAAGTCAGATTTTGTCAATAATTACAAATAAAGATTAACTTTCTTCTAGATCTGTAATAATAATTCATAAACACAACTAGCTACTAGTGGCCGGCATGGCCAGGTGGTTAGGGCGCTCGACTCACAATACTGAGGGTTGCTGGTTCGAATCCCCGTCACACCAAACAT